CATGCGATGATCGTTCCACGATCGGTGCGGCACAGTCGAATCAACACTCCTCTTTATTTTCGAAAGGAGCGTCGAATACCACTACCTGGAATGATGCTCTGGTCCGAATCTTCGACGCCACGGCTGTTCATGTAGTGAACAAAGTCCTTGAGACCGGGCGAGCCACTTTCACAATGGCTGAGGCAGAACTTGCGGTATCCTGCCCAGGATTCGTCCTTGCTCTCGAAGACCTCACGGTAGGTCTTGACATCTTTGAACTTCCCAAAGGACATGTAGCATTGCCCCCACTGATCCAAGGAACTAATCCCTGGTGGAAGCAAAGCCTCCGGCAACACGACCTTGCTCTTTCCCCCACTCGATGAGGGCATAGGACCAGGCACTTCATTCTCCAAGCCAGCAAGATAGGTAGTTCCAGCGGAGGTATAGCCATGGTAGTGCTCATCACGGAGCCTCTTACTCCCGTCCGACATCGTTCCAGAAGGGGACCGATTGGTAGGCTCAGGGCCGTCATGGATCAGGTCCTCGGCGTCAATCACCTGTTGCTACACGGACTTCCAAGCTCCAAGACGTCGAGCCTTCAGGATGAGGCGGGCACATTCATCTTGCTCCTGAGGAAGGAACACTTGGTCGCTCTTCATGGCCATAGCTACAAGCTCTCACAGTGGCAACCCAGCCACTGAACGCGTCGAACACCTAAGGATGATCATTTGATCACCTGCTGGAAAGCGGCATCAACACACAACTCCAAAATGGAGGTTGGCAAAAACAAATGCATGTCTCAAAACGCAGGGCAGATGGCTGTACAAATCAAAAAGGACATGTATGTGGAGTCTTCATAAGGCGGCTCAAGGAGTGAACTAGCTAACACAAGAAACACACGAATCCCCTACGCATTGACTTCCGAGTGTTTACACTCGCCCCCAAAACATGCAATGCTCGATTCAGTGCTATTGTGCAGAGTTTTCCCCCTTGACTCTCTCGGCAGGAGGAGGTGGACCCTTTGATGCAAACTGTTTTCGACGATCCCTCTCTTGTGCTCGGCGTTCCAAAACCAGACTTTCAGGACTTATCTGGTAGCGTGCGGTACGGAGACAGGCACGAATGAGGTCTAGGGCCTCTGGGCTTTCCTTTGTGAGTCCGTCGGCTAGCATTCTGTCAGTGGGAATCCATCGAAGCTGAGACTTCGTCCGAAAAACACAATCTCTCAAAATCACAATATCTATGGCCGTTCGCCGATCATGTAAAGTAGGGGAAGAATTTGAGATCAAGTGATCATAGAGAGACTTGCAGTCGGTGATCAACATGGTCAATCTGTGATCGACTCCGTTCCACAGGCTATGCGCAAAGCGGGGACCGTCCAAGGCCTCCGACAGCAAAAGGTTAGTCCACTCTAGCATACTAGATGCAGTGGCCATACTCTGGGCTTCAGCGCTCAAAGTCGAGCTGACCACCCTTGGCAACCTGTGGCTTTTCCAATAAGCCGGAGTCCAAGGACTATCATGACCTGAGTTAATCCCTTGATGTACAAAACTAACCATGAAACCAGCTTGAGTGGAACCCGATCGACCGTTGGCGAAGGCGGCATCGGAATGACACATGAGACCCAATTCGGACGGTGGAATGTGACTAAACCTGATGGCCAAATCTGCATGTTGGCGGGCCCGTCTTACGGCATGGTTTGCGGCAATAGCATCATTCACTGTTGGTCGAGGAAATGCTTGTTGTGAGAACGACACTTGAGTTGACAAGTCAGGTCGTGATTGAGTCGACAACCAGTTGAGACTCCCATTGATAGCTCTCAAGCAACTTACCTCTTTTTCATTCAACAATGCCTCGCGGTTTCGTGATCGATCACGGGACAAGTGCAGAGGTTTTACCTTCTGAACAAACCGTTCTTGCTTCATGCTGATTTCGAAGGTTTTGGGGTCTTGTATGTATTGTGCACCACAGAAATCACCATTCTGAGTACGCCACTTGCGGAACTCAAAGGTCTGTTTCAGCTGAGCGATGGCCTTTCCATAGCCAGAACCACACCCTCCTGTCACACAATCGTCCACATGAACACCATAAATTCCTGTCAGTTTTCCATTTTCTCGAAAATAGAAAAGACATGAGTCGAATCGAGACCGTTCGAAACCGGCGGCAAGCAATTCATGGCTCAACTTCTTGTACCATGCAGCCGGTGAGTCATTCAATCCGTACACGTGTCCTAGCACTTCTATCAAGGCTCCATCGGGGATACCAGGAATGCCCCCTTTTGGCAAAGAGGCATACAGTGGCTTGTAACGTTGGGGAAGATTACCAGCAGACAGAAATGCCCCCTTTTATATCCCCCAACTGCATCTCCCACTGATGGCTAGCCAACAATTGAAAAATCAGGTTACGACCAACCTGGGACAGTGTGGGACTCTGGAGGTCTCCAAGCTCGGCCTTGGCGGTGAGGTCTGGGTCCAAATGACCCTGGAGGCACCAACGAGCTTTGAAGCGAGGGGCGGCATCGTCTTCAACTTTCAAGGTCATAACATACCGACTACCCATGATGCGATGGCTCAGGTACTTACGAACATCATCAGCCTCATTACCGAGTACGACACGACCAGCATGCTTTCCTTCAATGGTGTTCCATTCCAACAATTTTGCTTCATCTACTTTCTTCTGAATCTCTGGAGGGTTACCTGTCACCGGAATTTCTTTTGCGGCCTTCTTTTGCATATATGCGGCGACGAGTACTTCACAAGGCATCCCCTGTTGGAACAAAGTCACCAGTTCTTGTTTGGCAATATGATCGAGACCGTCATGAAGGTTACCCATGGAATGGCTTTGAAGGAGTTCTACCGAGCAAACACCAATTTCATCCATGGCAAAAGTGGCACTTTCTACTAACAGATCTTCTTCTATCCCATGGAGACGTTTGTCGACCGGTTCAACGTCGGCTTCAGTTGGTTCGATCGATCGTTTCGTCCCTCGACTCGAACTCGAAGATGATCCTTCGCCGGCTGGTGGTGGATCTGTGTGGTCCGGACTACTGGATGGCTCTTTTTGCAAGACTTGTTGAAGTAGTTCAGGAACAATCTCTTGCATCATCTCTTGAAAGTCTTCTTGTGCCATTCGTCCTGGACGATACAGAGCCATGGGGCCATCCTTTTGACCAACACGCCGTCTCGGCGGTCGGACGGGGCCATATGCAGCCTCTTGAGACGGCACGACACTTGGCCCACCGCGAGTGTGTGTGTCCACTTCCATTGGACTCTTGTCGATGAGTGGTGGTGGCTCCGGTGACTCACTTTCCTCATCTGGAGGTGCATTCATGGGAAATGGCCCAACACGAGGTTTATTACGCTCAGCAACGGAAGACCGGTCGGCCATGACTGGTGGACTATCTTCTCCAATTTCAGGATCAACACCAGGGTACGACTCGGAGGTCAAATCAACGTATTGCCTACTTTCGAGCTGATGAGATTCGATCAAGTGCTTGATACCCAGAAAATCCATGTGGGGAGTTTCGGTCAGCTTGAGCTCATCTTGGGTTGATGGACGAATCTGCTCAGGTGCGCACCGGAAGATTTGTCTCTTATGGATGATCACTAGATTACGACCCACATAACCCAACACCAGTGCAGGACCACACCATCGTCCAGTCTTCTCCAAGGACCCATGAATCCATTTTTGAGATCGCCAATAGGCTACATGAGTTCCAGGGCTGTAGGTGTGATGCACACGAGGCCGGGCGGCCAAGGCTTGTCGAAGCGCCTTGCTATCTTGCAAGTCAAGCACTGCTTTCCGAGCAGTTTGTCGGATTGCAACTTGCTTGGCAACGGCTTCATCATACAGGGCCGAGGTGGCAGGTACGATCTCTAGGGGTTCATCGAGCAAGTTCTCAGGCACTCTAGGGTTCTTCCCAAACACGAACTGAGCTGGGGTCATACCGTACACCTGGATTAACTGGTTCTTACAGTGCGCTGCATTTACACAGTCAAGCCATTCGGTTTGGTTTCGGGGTGCATGTTCCGACAAAATCTTGGTAAGCGCTCGACTAAACCAGCCCCCATGAACTTCAGTCTTACCTAACTGCCAGTGTGCATCACCGGCAGTCAACTTGAAGCTCGCTCCTCCCTGCTCAAGCACGGCAGTGAACGCGTCGGCCACATTGGCGCGTGCAGGGTCACACACAATCTCTTGTGGCATGCCTGCCCAAGACACCCATCGTTCCATGAACGCTTGCTTGATGATGTCGGATGTCTCACGCTTGAACACTGGGACCATGATTTGCAAGGAACTGGCTTGATCAACGATATTGAGGGTTGGAATCTTTTGGTTGGTGTCCCACCCAGGCAAATACTTGATGTCAATTCCAACAACAGCATTAAACTCCACAGTTCGATGGACCTGAGCTGGCAATGCTACCTTAGGCGTCTTCTGGGCAAGACACAGGTCACACGAGAACCGATGCGCCGCTTCCAGAGCGGCCGCGGAGGCACCCCCATGCTTGAGGACTCTCACAAGCTGTTGATTCGTAGGATGTCCAAGGTTATTATGCAATCGACGAAGGCTGTCTTTGATCTTGGCTTCATTGTCCTCTTGATTCAGGTCCTCAAGCGTGTGAGCTACTAGGCATTCGGTGGAACAATCTGATTGAACCACCAGGCCAACGGTCTTCGGAAGCCCCTTGGTCACACGAAGGACAGCTCTGACAAAGGTCGAAGTATACTTTGCTGCATGCTTGCTGATGGAACCTATTTTAGGCCAACTTCCGGCTATGCTCTGGTGATGTTGGTGATCAGTGTGAGTGGGACCAGGGCACTTCTTACCTAGGCATCTCATGTCGGCATGAGAGACTGCCAACCTAGTGGCCTTGCGGATCAGAGAGCCGCCTGGGACACGAAGGCCATAACAGCACATATCCACAAACACGGAATGCAATCGTGATTGAAGCTTTTCCATACATGGCATTTTCCAAGCAATCGAATCTTGGGGATGTTCGAACAAGCATCTACCTCCTGACGCCAGTTGGATTTCCATCAGCTGGCAACAGAAACGCACAAACAACTGAGTCCACGTTTCCCTAAGTCGCACCTCGTTTGGATCCATGTGCAAACGATTGAGGTGCCACCAGCCCCCTGCCCATGTGCATGGCGGGCACAACACTAGCAAATCAGGCGGATTGGTTCGAACGAGTGTCAAAAGGTCTTCACGATCACGTTTCCGACGGAAGTCCCATCCCGTGCTGAGGTCGGCCGACAGAACACGAAATCCCCGAGTTGCACCCTCTAGTGCAAATCGTGGTGGAGAGAATACCTCAATGACATTGTACCTATCTTGTGGCACCTGGTCCTCCCGATCAGGCACCTTGACTTGCGCCATCAACTGTCGATGCTGCTTGGCAGTCCACTGAGTGACATGGAGCTGCTCGATCTCATCCTGGGCATAAGCAATTGACGGCATGACGGCATCGGAGCGAAGTCGAAAGACGGTTCTACCCGTCCACGGTTGTTCACCGAGAGCGGCATGTGCAGTATCAGGCTCAAACCATGAATCCCGATGGTCCCAAGGCAACGGCGGCGGAGTATCGAAATGGGTTATGCGCTCGGATTGAAGCATCTCAACATCAATAGGGCATTGGGTGCCCTGCGGGGTGAACAACCTTTCCCGGGGTTTAAGATGGTGGCGAATAACCAAACGTTCCCGGGGCTTCAACTCCCAAAAATCTTTCTTACGGGCATGTTGATGATTGAAAGCAACCGAGACCGAGTGGCATGGTTGAGCTGCAGGCTCAACGGCTTCGGGCACTGGCTTCAAAACAGGCTGCGGAAACAACTCGGCGGCATGCTTCGGAAACGCCGACACGTTCACAGCATACTGTCCGGCAGCATTCACCTCCAGCGGAATCTCAACCCGGTCAGAAAACAGGGTCAGCTTATCTTCTCCGAAGTTCATGGAGGCGCCCAAGGTCTTCATTGCCGGCCTCGACAGGAGCAGCGGGGCTGATCCCTTCACAATAGCGGCTTTCACAAAACCAGGGCGTCCAGCCAAAAACACTGGGAGATCGATCATGTGAGAACTCACCTCCAGCTCACCGTTCCCAAAGCGGAACTGGTTGGATTCCTTTCGAAGGGGTGGCTCCGGAATGCCACATCGAGTCCAGATCTTCTTGAAGGACTCGAGGGTGTCCTGGCCGATAATGGTCTTTCCACAGCCACTGTCCAGGATGGCGAACCCTGGACTGCTCACCAACAAAACTTCATTGGGCAACTCCGGACAAAGAGCTGCAGTGCACACGAAATGCTCTGCTGGGCTATCCACTACCTGGACGGTGCTGGCTGCATGACTGGTGGTTGTCGTTGAAGCACTAGCAGGTTGCGACTTGCATTCACGCTGCCAATGTCCCATCTTGCCACATCGTCGGCATCGGGTACGTTGCTTCAACTCTTCGACTTGCACACGGAAGGACCGTTTGAAATCCTTACCACCAGCTGTCTGGCCACGGCGGGTGTCAGATGCAGTGAACCTTCGACCCTTTTGGACTTGGTTCAACTCGGAGCGTCGCTCCTTCCAGGTCGTGGCCAAGATCTCGGCCGCGTCCTCTTCATCCAGCTCTTCACCCGTCAGATGTGGTTCACCTGACTCTTCATAGCCGTGCTCGGCCAGAAACAGCTCGATGTCTTGCAATGAATCCTCCGGCTCAACGGGACCGGAACCCGCTTCTTCCACAACATGGGCCCCCAATGTACGGCGCTTCGGCATGACATAGTCCGGGAAGCAAGACCTCATGGCCTGTGACAGTGTATCAAACTTTAGATCGCCTTGAGCTCGAGCTAAGCAGATGGCACGATCAGCTTCTGCCATTCCGGACTGGTTCAGCAGGATCCATCCTCGGGCCTCTTCTGGGGATTTTACGCCAGTCTTGCGAGCGCACTTGTCGAAGCACTCACGAGCACGGGCGCACCACTGACGAAGGGTCTCCCCTTCTTTCGCCCGAAGGGCGAACACCTCGGCGATGTTCTCGCCGATCTCGTCCGTGCGATCCAGCTCAGGCCACCGCCTGTCAAGTAGCTTGAAGATGACAAGATCACCGCCCTTCACCTGGTAATCTTCTTCCTTCAAATGCTCTACCACTTCCAGCGCTTTGCCTGACAGGAGGGTCCAAATGAACGAGCCACGTGCAGCCTCATCCAGCTTATCCATTGTTCGCATCTTGTTGACCACCCACTGCTTCCACCGTCGATATTCACGGTGGTCGCAATCCTCCCCCGAAAAATATCGGAGCGAGGTTCCAGCCTCCATGGCAACCTAACGGCACAGTCGAACGCTCCGGCCCGCTTCCAGCGAACCAAGGAGCAGGAGACAGGATTTGTACCTGCTCCGCTACCAATGTTGGTAGCCCAGCCTTCCCTGCGGTCCACGCAGGCCTTTTCTCC